CACATGTGGATCTACAGACGGGCCCTAAGTGGACCAGTGATTTAGAGAGCCTCTCTGGCCAGAACATGACGCCATATGGAGCTCATCCGGATCCACACTCTGCATGTACTCCAGCCTGGGGGGGTCCAGATGAGCATTTTGACCAACTGTGATTTATGGGACATAAGTGGGGTACCCAGATGTTACTTTTTGATTACATTTTTGCAGTCTTGATTGGTGAAACTGGCCATTTAATACATTTGAAATGCCATGGCAAGTGTACGAAAACAAACTGAGTAGAAAATGGTGCTGTATATCGGAGGAGGATACTCAGCACAGGTGACGTCCGCCCTGATTGCTAATGTGTATGTCTCTGTCGGCGAACAACATTACTAATACATTAGTTATTTCTAATTTGATTTCAAGTGCATTCGCTGCGTTTTCCATCTGCTTTACAAATGCAGGTTATCTCTTCTCCATCATGGCCAGACACATTTCCAGGAAGGTAGGCAGGACATGGAAAAAGTGAAAGCGGGAATAGCAATACACTTTACAGGCCTTGATGGACAATCCCATACTTCAAAGTACACATAAAGAATTTCCAAGGCTCTGAGCGGTGATTCAGACGGTGCTTGTAGAAAGAGATAATTAACGGGTGACCTAAAGCTCAATCAATCTTCCTACTTGTTCTGTTAAGGTCAGGTTACTTTGACAAAGAACAGCATACACTCATATTTGAGAAGTCTGTTTGTTTTTGTATATTTTTATAATTAACTATATAAGTATTGCAATATCTGTATTTTAGCTTTAAAATGTGTTCTTTCTGTTTATATGGATGACCCTGTCTTAAAGGTGGGGTAGGTAAGTTTGAGAAACCGGCTCGAGATACACTTTTTGTTATATTCCATGGAATGCTCTTAACATCCCGATAGCAATGAATATCTTAAGTGCTTTGACAAAAAATCCATAAAAAAATGTCATCTGTGGAAGCCGTAGTACTGTAAAAAGCACGACCAATCATTTTAGCCGGCCCGGCTAAAATAACTGGATGGCCTACCTGCCTGTCAGCCTTCCATCTGTGCACTAACTTATCTCGTGCCCTCATTGGTCATGTGCGCGTTCGTGTGTGTTGGAGGAGGGGCTCTGTAAGGAAGTGGCAGATTTTCTCCGGTTGTGTATTTTCAAATTCTAGCGATCTCGAGCCGGTTTCTCAAACTTACCTACCCCACCTTTAAGTAAGTAAAACATATTTGATTCATATGTCATTCTGTTTGCTGTATTCATGTAAGTTACTAAAAAGACCTTGCGTTTTTAAATCAGACATGTTTCAAACGTTTGGATCATGACTTGAATGTGGGGATTACATTTAAAATCATTATTGAAGATCTTTTTTTATCAAATAGAATTTAAATATTTGAACTTGGAAGAAGAGCATAACTACAGTGGGGAAATATGCATGAATAATTGTGAGAGATTCACAAAATATCTGAAGCGTTTCTTCACAGCAAGATCATGCATTTTTGATATGCCACTGGTGATTTTATTTTTTACATTTTTGTCAATACAGCTTCTTGTCATACATATTAATATCCATAAAACGGACAAAACACTCAGGTAAAAACAGCTGCTGTACTTAATGAAACGTGTTGTGCCGGATTAATTATGCTGTGTTAACAATGAACAACAGAAATCTGTCCTGGACTTAAACTCGAAAGTATTGACGGCAGCTGGCAGCTTTCCTAGAAAATCTCACCCTGGCGACCTCTCATTGCAGAGCCCAATAACAGATACATGTCCATCTCCAGGGGCTCATCAAATGCCAATATAATGCAAATGCAAAGAGAGGGTCAAACATCAAACCTGCAGCTTGCTCATAGAGTTAATACGTTTTGTGTTTGTTTGAGTTATATGATTTTAACCTGAGAGAGAGGTTGAACAGCAATAAAGAAAGCTGCATTAACATAATATATTCTGTTTATCTTCTTACCACACAGATGTATAGGTTGAAAGTACACACTTGGACACTGATAAGGGTCAAAAATCCCCCCCAAGGTACAATACAATAATAAAAAGGGGGGTATAGCCAAGAGGGTATCTATTTAACCCTCCTGTTGTCTTCGGGTCAAATCTGACCGATTTACTACTTTCATCATCATCGTAACTTTTTTGTTTTACATTCGATTGCATTAAGGCTTTATGATATCCTTCACAGTAGACATTTGAACATATACAATTGCTGATCACCACTTTCATTGAATTTTGGATTTAGTCAACTTTGTAACACCCATGGTGTTCCCGGTCAAAAATGACCGCCATAAAGAAAAGGAATTAGTAACCATCCGGATCAGATCAAACACACACACACACACACACACACACACACACACACACACACACACACACACACACACACACACACACAGACACACACACACACACGCCTGGTTTATCCAATTCTAAATGCCACAGGACATACTAAGTTCAGTCTTTGTTATTTTGAACTTTTTATCCTGATGTTTTGTACTTGACATTTAGACTAGCTAGGCAGAGTAAACTTTTTGAAATTAATTCAAACATACCTCAATCACAGGAACAAACATTGCTACAGAGGCGCGTTATATAAGATTGGATGCCAAATAGCAGCATGTATCATCTGTAAAGAAAGCCTTCAGATCAGTTGTTTCATATGTAGGATTTCAAAGCAAAATGAGACAACAGATTTCCAAAGAAACTAAATCAACTTTGTAACGCTCTTAGGTCAAACAGACACACCAACGGCAGCACACAGCAAAACAAAGTGACGTGAAGCAGGGGAACGACTAAAGCACATGAAAACAGGCAGAAACATAGACCTGGGAATAAAAACAGGATTCACATCCATGTTGGCCGATACAGGGTCTCTCTTTAGCAAGACACCTGAACAACTTCTAGGGTTTATCTTGTTTTTAAGGAAAATGCTACATTCACCTTTTAGAAGGTTTTCTGTAAGTAGTGACCATTTTTTTTAAATAAATGTTTTGTGCCAGAAAGCTCCTTTAATGGAGATACAGCTTTAAAAGTGGGAGATAGAGGGGATGACATTGCCTGAAGCTTCAGCGCACTCAGGAGGCGGACATGGTATACATGCCAGCTTTAACCACTTAGCTATCCCACGGCACAATAGTGACAACTTTGAGCCTAAAATAGTAAGTTAAAGTTGATCAAAAGGAGTTAACATTTAGTACAAATAAATACAAAATTACATTTGAAGACTACCTTCAGAACTAAATGGCCTCTGGGATATAATTGTGGGAGCGGAGGTGAGGGTTTCAGAGGTTGAGGGCTGCAGGCGGTGTGAGATGACACCAAACATGACAGTCGAAGAGACAGATAGTAGAAAGTCCTCTTCCCTTAGTTCACTTCACTAGTTTCTGAATTAAGGTGGAATCCTCTTAGGAAAACCAGAGTGGGTCAAGTATGCAATCAGTCAGATATTTATGCCAGACTAATATCTTTTTTCTGTCCCTCTATCTTCGTGATAAAGTAGTGCAGCCACATCTGTGTGTCTGCTGACATCCCTTTGAACTCGTGTCCTGTGGGGTTACTCACACCAAAAATGGTCTCCAATGTCCATATCCCAGCCCTATTTTAGCCCGCGGTGGAGCTTCAAAAGCTTCAAAGCACACGACTGACTTCCGACCTCGGCGAGAATGATCCTCTGATGCATGTCAGGCAGGGTGCAGGAAGTGTCGTACTTCCAGGATGACATCTAAGCGCGTCGGGATGTAGAAGAGGCGCAGGAGAGTGTACAGGTGTGTGACTACACTGCAAAGTTGCAGAGAGTGCTGTTTGGGAAGCCTAATTACCCAAAGGAAAGAAGAACAACACTAACAACTGGTCCTCAACCCCAAAGGCAGATTCTGACATTTCAGAGAAGGTCAGAGCTAATTACCGTGCAAGACTGTTCATACAAGAGGAGATTGTTTGTGTGGAAAAATGCTTCTAAATTTGAAGAAGGTTCCTGGTGTCACAACCTTTATGTTTCACGGTGACATATTGACAATGCCAAATACCACCTAAATCAATTGATACACGTGCCAAAAATCACTGATGTGATGTGACGGAGAGGAAACTGTGGGTCAATTAGTCGATAATTAACTGACAGTAGAGTAACTGACAACAACTTTTATAATAAAATAATTAAGCATCACTGCTAAACATCTCACCTCATCACCTTTTCTTTTAGCCAGTGCCTTTATTTGAGAGATAGCTATGAACGGGGGGGACAGAGGGAATGTGGCACATAGTGCTGGATACAAACCCGGCTCCTCCGCTTGGGAGCTATACGCCGGCCAATATCACCTATTTAACAATAAGAAGGATTAGCTCCTTTTCCCTAATTTAGTTAATTGTAACATGAACATCTGTAAGGCTGTAAGACAACAGATGTCCTCAGGGTATTTTGCCAATGGTATTACTGTAAATGGATATATTCCAACTTTTTTGTACATTTTATAGACGTGAGGATTTTTTAATTGAACATTTAAAAAGCATAAGTAATCAAGAAATGATGTCTGCAACTCGTGATTATTTGTATAATTGTAATATATATTTACAGTTAGATATCTATATTATATTTCTCATTATTTCAATAATTGTTTAGCAAAGAATTGTCAGAAAAGTGTGAAAAAAATGCAAATTATAAATTGCCATGGACCAAGATGCAGAATACTTTTGCTGTCTGTGTAACAGGCCAAAAGAAAAAGACATCCACTAAAAAATATAGTATCTGTTGACCAAATGATAAATGAGTCAACCTATCGAGTCATTTATAATTTAGTGCATGAACAGTTCTTCCTGCTTCTTAACCCGGAGACAAAGAGTTAAGATAGTATCTCCATGACTTCCCTCGCAGAGGCTCTATCATTGCATCACAGGATATAAACCATTAGGATCTGACAGGATTCATTATTTAGAGCTCCATTTGCATGGCTCCATTATCCCTTGGATAGAAACAGAGGAACATCATGACTTATACATACGAGTTTTTCGTGCAGAGTCCTCCACAAATAGCGAAGAGATGTCTTCGTCTATGCCAGCATCATTTTTGGCGATGCAGGTATAAGCGCCCGTATCCTCAAAGTGCACGTTGCTGATGTGAACCTCACTCCCATTAGCTTTGAGAGACAACAGAGAGAACAGACAAGGAATGACTTTCGGAAAGAGATTAAAGGAGACCTGCATGCTACCATCACTCGGTTACACAAGACTTCTCTAATATGTTGGGAAGGGAGGTGAGAGGTTTGTTTCTCTGAGACTATGAGGAGGTAGGAGTTCAAAGTGAGAATGTGGCACATGTCAGCCACATGCTGTTTGTGTGAGCACTGGGACAGGTCTCTACTTTAATGAACAAGCTAAAAAGGGAAAACATTTGGTTTCAGTGTTGATTGAAAACTACATGAGGCTTTATTCCACAATACTTGATACTTTGAACAAACCAAATGTATCAAGCAAACATATTTCTTGATGATTTAACATATTGGAATTTAGAGCCAACATCTTTAAAACGAAAAAAAGCCACAATGAACAATGACCCAAAGTTACACCGATTAATCAAAAACAGGCCAGCGTCATTGACTGCATTAAAACCATATTAGGATTGAGTCAAAATGAGAAAAGGATTGCATGCACTGATAGAAAATAAATGGTTGCATTTAGTGTTCTTGATGGCCATTCATTCATCTTGACATAGATTTGAGTTTTTATCGCCAGCACTGTTTTACACACAGCAATAGCGTCAGTCATAGTAGTCGTGGTCATATAGCGATACGATAAATGTGACATTTATTATACTGATAGTGGCAGCAATTGTAAAAGTAACTGCAGCAGTTAAGTGTAAGTAAGAGGTGCAGTGAAATAATAATGGAAGTAGCAGTGGTGTGAATAGGAATAGGAGTAGCACATGATAACAAAGGCCCTACGTAGCTGTGTACGTAACAGGATGCATGATTACCTAGAAGAGCATCAGGACTGTTTTAGGCATATGATAGCTATGTGACAATGATTAACATGATGATTCAGCCTCTATGGAGATAGACATATGACAAGCACGATCATTTCTGACGTGGGTCTTAGCCAATCTAAACTAAACATTGTATACTGCTTTGAACCGGTATTCCTCCATCTTGTGACTGTGTAACTCCCTCTCTTGTATATAAGCATTTGAAGGACACTGTTCAGGAACTAGTTGTACCAAATGCTCTGTATGTGATGACTACTTCCATTCTTGCAAGGATAATAAATATGTATCCTGTTATTGAAGCTCAAGCCGGTGACGAGTGATATTTTTTTAACACACGTGTAGATGCAGAGAGCAGTGAAGCAGGAGTACCTTGCAGGGTGAGTTGTTTGGACAGCTTGGAGGTGATGTCCATGCCGTTCTTCAGCCAGGCCAGCTGCGGGCTGGGGATGCCCTCAGCGTGGCACCGCAGAGAGGCGGTGACGCCCGGCTCCCTGGCCTGGCTCTCTGGGTACACCCGGATGACGGGGGGAACTGAATTATGGTAAAAAAAAAAAGAGAGAAGGAAACAGAGAGAAAGGAATGAATGCAATACAATGGTTTGTTTAGTATCACTTGAGGAGGGAGGTAACCTTATTGAATGAGAAGTTGCCAAGCTTTAACTTATGGGTTGGCATTAGCATACACTATCAATAAGGACGAGTGTTATTTTCGGCAATGCCTTAAGAAAAGGTTAACATTTGGTAGACATTGATTTTATGTAACCTTTTTTGTCAGGCAGGGAATGAGGGGATAGAAGTGGAGAAAACAAAATGTGTGAAGGCAAAAACGAAACGTCGCTCACTGCTGCAAACTGTGCCAAAAGCTGACTGCACACATTCCTGCACATTTTACCCTACCCTGAAGGAAAAACAAACACACATTAAGAACTATCCTACATACTGTATTTCTAAGAACCAAAAATCAACATGAATCAAAAAAACACACAAAAACATGAATAATATGCATTTATGCAATGGCTGAGGATATGCCACAAGTGTTGCTTTATACCCGGTGGCTAAATAGTTGGAGTCTTGCTCCACAAAACATGGAAAATATCAAAAGAATGAATTTGAATAATCCTTTAAAAGGAAGCAGCCTTCTCTGGGTAGCATAACAATGATAAAAACCTTTCAAGAAAAGGATAGCAGTATCTCTGAGGACACTCTCCCAAAGAAATGGTGACAGAAACTTGGACTGTGACAATTAAATGTTTACAGAGCGACCACAGAAAGAATCTTCCTGTCACATATAAGACGACATCCTGGCAGGGGTTTAAGAAGGGACGTCACATTTCTCTATCTTGCCATCTTGTTTTGAGCACTTTCTCGTAGCCTCTGTGGCCCAAATCAGTGTCCTCCTTTCAGACTTCAGAGACGTGAGATGGCAGCGAGCGTCTTGGCAGGAGGTGAGAAGGCGGATGACGTGCTGTAGAGACCATTTCCTGTGGGCGCTGGGTCAGAGGAAGTCTTCTAGGCAAGGTGAGCGAAATGACTGAAGATTGTTGCCACGGCCATCTGGTAACTACGGCACTCCCGGGCTTTGGAGCTCGTGTCAACCTGACTGCCAACACGCCATCCAGAGGGGGCCACCAAGGACTCTGAAGACACTCAGGTTACTTTACCAATCACAGTGACGGAGACACTTATACCCTCAGCAGTAACAATGTTCACCGTAGAGCCTATGGAGACAATTATTTTCTACGATCTTTTGAGTGAAGATTATGACTGACACTAAATATCTTTACACACGCCTGTACGAGAATACAACACTTTCTATGTGTGTGTGAAGCTAATATCCTTCCTTTTTTTCTGTGTACTCTGTGTTTACTGTAAATCACTTAGTGACAGCCTTGATCGTTAGAATTGCTCTGTGGATTATTTAGCTTGAATCTATAGATGCATTGTATGTTCACCAATCACCCTGAAAGCACATACAACAAAAGCATGCATCTCAGCATTTCTATAAGGGTTGTATACTTCTAAAGCAATAATATTCTGTGATTTAAATGTCTTGTATTTTCACCGTCAAGGCCAAGCATACATCCAAGAACTTGCCTGTTTCTTGGCAGAAAATGTACTACAAGCAATATCCAACGAGCACGTATATTCTCACTATAAGGGAACCTGGCAAATTAGATTGGCTAGTTACCTAAACACATAAATATGGTGAGAAATTCTGAAATGAAGCTATCAAATGAAGTTTGATACTAGTAATACAGACTATTAAGAGCTGTAATATTAAGTCGAGGTTATTAGATGTCCCCTTTGAAAGTAACTGGTTACGTTCTGATCATTGATTAATTATTTGATTGACTTTTAAGTAAAAATGCCAAACATTTGCTAGCTCAAACATGATGATTTGTTACTCTACCCTGTATTTTATGGAGGTTCAATTAGAACTTTTCAAAGACCCCCATCACCCCAGCCACAAACTGTTCTTTCTGTTGCCGTCTGGCAGACGTTACCGCAGCATCCTGGCAAAGACAAGAAGATTTGGAGACAGTTGCTTCCCGCGGGCAGTGAGACTGTTAAACAATTGAACTGTTGAAACAACTTCAAAACATTCATCTGCTACTCAGTAATATGTATCTAATATCTAATATATATCATTCCAATAACTTGTATATAGACTCGTACTGCACTATTCCACATCATCACTTTATTTTATAACTATTTTTCTTTTTGTATTGCTCTTGCTATCTGTATTGTTATTATGTTATTATGTTGCATTGTTGGAGAAGCCTGTGACACAAGATTTTCAACAACATAATTACTCTGTAGCTATGTCAGTTTGACAATAAAGAACCTTGAACCTTGCACTTTGCTGTCTTTCAACTTTAGTTTTTTTAGATTGGATGAAACAAGTACGTTGAAGACTTTAACTTAATGTTGTTCACATGAAAAACAAATCCACAAACGATTATCTTCAGATTAATCCATAATGATTGCAGCCCTTCAGAGGATCACTTTCATTCCCTTACATTACTGAACATAGCGAAGCTTAATACATCCAGAAAAGTGTTAAAGAAACTAAATATTCCTCGACTGTTGAGCTCACTCAATCAGTCTAAAATGTTACAGACTAAGCTGCACCGACCCAAATGATCACAACCGAGATAATAAGGTTCCTCTTTGCACAACAACTAAGAAAGTACAGTCAATATAAAGTGCTCATTATGAAGCCAAGGCAACACTTCCCTTCTCTTAGGCTCTTTTAAATTCAATGAATTAATCAAACTATTGCAAATTGATGGGAAGTTATGAGCAGTATTTAAGTATTTTAAGATGAATGATCATTTGTTAAATGTCACTGTACAAGACGACATTGTAGAGGCACATTTATTTTCATAATTGTTTCTGTGAGTATGGCAGTGATTGTGGGGAGAGTTGGGGGTCAGGGCACACATGGCATTAACCTATGTTGCTGGCCCACAACCACAACAGCCCATAAATCAACAGCTGTATAGATTCTAGCAATACCGGCCAGACTCCCTCGAGCGCCTCATTAATAAAACCTCACAGGCAATCTAACAATGTTGCATTAATTAGTGTGTTTGAATTAAACCACAATACATCAACAAGAGTTTTTCTAAGTCTAGAGAAACTGTTTACTGTCACATTGGTCAGTATCGGTTCATTTGTCAGTGACAGACACTTCCGTTGAACAAAAGCTTAAGCACAGATAAGATATATAAAATAAGCTCTATTGATCTGGACTCAACGTGTTTCCAAGAAACTGCATTTGAAAAAAGCAGGTTCATGTTACATTGAAGTATTTAAATACATTTTAATTTTAATTTCAAAGGAATTTGGTGAATATTTTGAAGGAAAAAAAACGGGAAATGTATCCTGATATGAGAAAAATGTGGGTTTAACACACTTATTTGTACAAGTACATTTTTACCAATAAATACTTTCAAGTTCAAATCATTTCTAATAAATACATAGGTTTGTGTGATTGCATGTTTTTCTATCCTTCAGAGTCTATCTGGAAACAGGTGAGAGGGGTCTTATGATCAGGATGGTGTTTTGTAGGGTCCTACACAGTATATAGAAACATCTTTCGATGCTTTTGAAACTGATAGAAAATAGATAGCATGGCATTGAGCCCACACCTCATCTCATACACCATGTTGGGTCAATTGCTTGTGAGATTTGAGAAGATAGAACTGGTTGGTACTTTGTGCTGAAGATCACCAATCAGAGCTCCAGGTGTCAGATAGTTCGCAGTAAAAGAGTACGTGCAGTGTGTGGAGAGGTGTAATTACAGAGCACGTAAGTGAGGTGCAATCAGGGCTGTGAATGAGTCTACGTTTGGCTGAGGGAGAGCAGAAGTTCCAGTCCTCTGTAGATTTCATGGACCTAATGCAACATCTGTGATGGGAGGGTCACACGCCTGCCAAAAACTCAATCCCAGAGTAGTTCCATGAAACATCCAAGAGAGGTTCCTCCGCAGTTCAGCACGACATAATGACGCACATAACTGTGTTGCTAGGTGTATACACTGTTTACATATGTGTATGAACACTGAGCATATGGGGTAAGCAGAGGGGTGCCTGATCTGGTTTATATGAAAGATTCTGTATTATTAAAAAGGTAATAGGTGTGCGGAAAAAGTGAACATTACAACTAAAGGTACATTTAAATGTTCTTAGTATTTGGTTGGGAATTTAAAATTGCTTTCGCAGAAGGATGTATGCTAATTATTGAGCATTTTCTTTGAAATGTTATGCTATTCAAATAAGCCTGTTTTTTGTTTTAAAAGAATGCTGGGGATAAGCTTTTTTAATCAAATAGTGACAGAAAAAACTGTGAATGAGATTGACAGACCTGTAAGAGTTTGTATAAGTCAATTTACAAGGATAACAAATAAATCTGAATTTACTCTGGTCATCGTAAAATGTTTTAGAAGAGCCCTATTATGCTTTTTGGGGTTTTCCCTTTCCTGTAGTGTGTTGTATACTTTTGTTTGAATGGTCTGCAAAGGCTAGAATGCCAACGTTACCTCCAGAGGGCGATCTCTTACACACACCACCCCCCCCCTTCCTGAAACGCCTCAATTGGACTCCTTTGTTTACTTACGTTACATGATGACATCACTATGTTACACCTGTTGGCTAGAGTTCCTACATATTGTACGTGATAAGCTAAGGGGGCGGGACATCTCTGCAGCACAGGCAGTGAACATTAAAGCATGTAGAAGCACAACATAAACATATGAACATACAACTCATAATATGTCCTCTTTAACCCTTAGGTCCATAAGTGGGTCTTTTTTGACCTTGTGAGGTGGTTTTCTTAGAGTATCTTTGTAATTACATTTTTTTATCATTTCATATTCCAGCTATTCCTCAAAAAACATGTTTTGGATATCATGCCATTCAAATTTTAAATATAATTGTATACATTTTAAGAAATTGTAGTTTTCGTATTACTACCCCAAGCTTCCATAAGTGGGTCAAAAATGACCCGCATGCATTTTCTATGGAATTT